CTTTGGGCCAATCACCAGGAAATTGTGAGTTCTAGTCCCACCTTAGGCATGAAAGCCAACTGGGTGACTTTATTGAACAGTCAGTTCATGCTGACTGGGGAATTCTGGGCGTTGAAGTCGAGACATTTTAAAAGTTGCTGAATTTGAAAAACACCGGTCTATAACTAGGTAAAAAGCAAGCTCTCCTTCAAGTTGTCTCAATTTGTGATGATTTTATAGACTGGTCTTTGTAGGAGGTTTTTTTTGGCAACTTGCCATTGGCTTATTCTAAGATTTTTTTTTCTTCCCCATATCAGATCTGGCCTATAACTGAGGTTTTTGTCGAAGAGCTCCCAGCAGAGTACTAACCGGATCTGAATCTGTTTAGCTTCTCAACCCAAAGAAGATAATCCAGAGGCTACCACTGCACTGCCCAAATAATCCTGTCTGATATTCTTTCCTGCCAGGTTGTATGTACACTCAGCAGTGTCAAACTGGAAGAAGTGCCTACATTCCATCAAGTTGAAGGATTCAGTACTAAGTTTGGTGTAAGTAGAACAAGATGAACTTAGGGGTTTTATGGATAAATATTTATGGAATTATGTATGATATTTTTTGTAAAAATAAAAATAAAAGAATTGGAATGTGCATATTTGCATTAAAAAATCTCTCTCATTCCCTGGGCCCTACCCCTCTCTCCTATCAATCAAGTTTCTACACTGCCTGGCTCACCTGACTGACTCTGGGTGATTTCTTACATACCACCTCCAACCTCAAAAAAGCTAAATTAAACCCTACATTACTGATATTGCAAACTTTGCTGTTATTTTTCGCTGAAAAGCAAGATATTTAGGATGCTAACATTTCTATGATTGTCATACTGCAGAATTCTCACATGCTTCCTTAGGAAGTCCCATTCTATTCCACCTCAAAAATGTTGACCATTTACTTCAAAAATTATGTTCCTTTTCCCTCTATCTGTTTAGACACGTGAAAGGGCGAGTCCTTGTGGCCCTGGCAGATGGGACCCTTGCCATTTTCCATCGGGGAGAAGGTAAGGGTCAGTTGCTATAAATGATACCCAGTTGCTGAAAACTGGACAGAGAAAATTAACTAGGATTAATTAATTTTGCCCTTGTAAAAATTAATTAATTGTGCCCATGTAAAAATTAACTTGTCTCATGGCCACTTAACACTGCAGTTGGCAGAATCTAGCAGACAGGAAACATTTTGGTGTGCTCCATAGAAATTCGGGATACTGTATACTCGTTCTTATAGCTTCAAATATGAACGTCGGTCTAGATAGGGTTATGCTTCCAGAGTTCAGGGCCTGGAATAGTGGCCTTAAGAAAACGAATTCCAGTTCAGCTATACTGAAAGTTTTGTAACTATCTGGGTGGCTTGATTGTAGAACCAATTGCCTCCTTTTGCTGAACCAGGGTGGAAAACGAAGTGTTAGAGACGCTTTAATGTTGATTCCTAAAGCCAAGGTTGGATCCAGTTATCCAAATGGACCTGTCCAATTCAGTGTGGTTCTGTTGTTCAAAGAGGTGCTCGATTCCTCAAGGGAATCCCCAGTCTCAAAACAGCTCATCTTCTCTTCTCCTTTCCCTTCCTTTTTCTCTAGATGGTCAGTGGGATCTCAGCAATTACCATCTCATGGATCTAGGCCACACCCATCATTCCATTCGCTGCATGGCTGTGGTATACGACAGAGTGTGGTGTGGCTACAAGAACAAAATTCATGTCATCCAGCCAAAGACAATGCAGATCGAGGTAACGGGAGTATCTGACCAGGGTCCTACTGCTATCCTTAGGAAGTCCCGTCCTGTTCTCTGCTTTTTCTTAAGATACTAAAAGCTTGATTTACTTTGACAGCTAAAGGGTACATGAATCAGCCGGAAACCACCCAGAAGTTATGTCACTGAAGATAAGAATATTTTTATTTTCACATAAGCTTTTATGGACCACACCCCTTGAAAATAGCCACCCCTCCCCAAAGATTCAGTCACGTCCCCTAACTTTCCACCCTCACTTCTCCTGAGTTGTCGTCAAATTTCTCATGGGCCAGGAAAGAAAATTTGTGGGAAAGACCTCACTGATGTTATTTATTTCTCTTTTAATTAAATTTAAATTAAATCAAGGTGAGATTTATTTATTTTTTTGTCCTGGCCTGGCTGAGTTCTTGACTCCATCTCCTTTGGGGTGTGCCACCCTTGTCTCAGTCAGAAGTCAACAATAGCTCTTTCTTTGGAGGGGGAAAAAAAAACCTGCTTATGGATTAGTAGATAACGTCATGCCAGTTACTTTTAAGCAAGGCAGCTGAGATTATTATTGGAAAAGCTATAATTTTAGAGTAGGGTGGCTGATATTTGAGGTTGTGGTGTGCTAGCGGACGTACAAGAAACCTACGAAAGTTAGGTTTGTAACTGTCGTAAAATCAAAGCTTCCTTCCTTGATGGTTTTTCCAGAAGTCCTTCGATGCTCATCCTCGCCGGGAGAGCCAGATCCGGCAGCTGGCCTGGATTGGAGATGGAGTTTGGGTTTCCATCCGTCTGGACTCCACTTTACGGCTCTATCATGCCCACACTCATCAACATCTCCAGGATGTGGATATTGAGCCCTATGTCAGCAAAATGTTAGGTAAAATGAAATGGCATCAGAAGCAGTCCTGCTTTTGAACCCTTTTAGCTTCTTCTTCCTTGCTGCTCCCATGTGCTTAGCACTGGCTCCTACAATAGTGTCCTTCTATGATCCTTGAAGTCCCCAGCAAGCTTGGTTAAATAGCTGTCAGGCCCAAGTAAGCCGGAACAAGCGTTCAAAGCATTCAAAGTTTATTCCAGGTTACCTCTACCCAAGAATCTGGCCTACTAATGGTCAAGACCTTAAAGTAGGGCCAGATAAGAGTCAATGGAATTCACTGGGAGTTGAACATAGGTCTCATGTGGCTACGTAAGGATTCCAAGCTAATGATGTGTTTAACCCTGCCTTCCAGCTTAGCCTGGTCATCTCCTATAGTAGCTAGCTAATGTTTGTAGATCTTTCTTGAACTTTTGGGTATTGCTTGTACAATATCAGCCAATGACATGGTGCTCTTCTGTTCAGGGACTGGAAAACTGGGTTTCTCCTTTGTGCGAATCACAGCTTTACTCATCGCTGGCAATCGCCTGTGGGTCGGCACGGGCAACGGAGTGGTCATTTCTATCCCTTTGACTGAGAGTAAGTGGTTGATGTTTGCATGTTTTCAATTATTTCCTCCGTTGTATGAAGAAACGTCAGAATTATCTCTAATGCTTTTTATTCCCTCCGTGAAAAAAAAGAAATGATTTATATTTCTGCCAAGATTGTCTTTTAGCTGTTCTCCCAATAACCACTTTTTTCTCCCCCTCCCCCAATCTGTTTTTTTTCCCCTCCCTCTTCGCTTCCTCCTCTGCCTTAGCGGTAGTCCTTCACCGAGGTCAGCTTCTTGGGCTCAGGGGTAAGTACTTAACCAACAAGGGATTCCTAGGATGGGATGTTTTAAGCTTTCCACGAATGAATCCGTTTTAATACCTGCAACGGAGAGAGAAAGCATCCATCTTTCCCCACCTTGCTTGTTGACTTCCGTTTCTCTTCCTTTGGTCTCAGCCAACAAGACCTCGCCAACATCTGGAGAGGGGAACCGCCCTGGAGGGGTCATCCATGTCTACGGTGGAGATGACAGCAATGACAAGTCCACCAGTAGCTTCATCCCCTATTGTTCGATGGCACAAGCCCAGCTCTGTTTCCATGGACATCGCGATGCGGTCAAGTTCTTTGTCTCCGTCCCTGGTCAGTAGCGCATTTCTCAGTCTTTGTGTATAAAACTGCAACATCAGCTTTCCCCAAGCAGTTTGTGTCCCATACAGGTCCAAAATATTAGTCACTTTTTGGAAAGTCACTATTCTCCAAAACACTTGAGGGCAGGACGAGAAGCAATGGGTGGAAACTAATCAAGGAGAGGAGCAACCTAGATCTAAGGAGAAATTTCCTAAGCGTGAGAACAGTTAACCAGTGGAACAACTTGCCTCCAGAAGTTGTGAATTCTCCAACACTGGAAGTTTTTAAAAAGATGTTGGATAACCGTTTGTCTGAAGTGGTGTAGGGTTTCCTGCCTAGGCAGGGGGTTGGACTAGAAGACCTCCAAGGTCCCTTCCAACTCTGTTATTCTGTTCTGTTCTGTTCTACTCTACTCTACTCTACTCTACTCTACTCTACACTACTCTATTCTCTCCATCTGAAATATTTCTACACTAACACATAAAATTCTGGTAATTTGTGAGCTCGACATATTAAGTGTCCTGCAAAAAAAGGGACCAGATACTGCACTTGATCTCAGCCAAAATGTTGAGAAACAAATAGTTTTTATTTTTATTTTATAATGTTTTAGATTTATCACCTGGGTAGCAACTGTACTGACATAGCAGTAGAGAAGGGAAGGTTATATTGTTTGATTTATTTTGCTAGCTGTTATTATATTATTATATTTATTTGCTTCACTCTGTTTAGTTCTTCTAAATTTTTCTGACCACCGACTAAATAAATACTGATTACAAAAAACCCCCAAAAGGAACAAAGCAGTTGATAAATGCTGCATTTACCGCTATGTTTGAATCACTGTGTCTATAACACTGAGTGATCTTTTTGATTAGAGTCGTAATTTTCATATTATGGTGTTAGTCTCGCAATTGCACATCAGACAACAGTGGAGAAGAGACAGACTTGGGATTAAAACTGCCACACTGTAGAAGCATTTCAGGTTAATAAGGAAGAACTGGCAGGGGAGGAACAAATAATTATAATACTTAAGCCTGGCATCGTCACAACTTCACAGGCTGCCCACATCACTACCCAATTGCCCTGTGATTTGAAAAATATTCCCACGTCAGTCCTGCTTCGTTTTGCTTCAAGCTGCTGTTCCAGAGCCTTGTCCTCTTCTTGAAAGGTTGGAGTGGAGCTGTTGCTAATTAGCTCTATGTCCTTCTAGGAAACGTCCTTGCCACGTTGAATGGGAGTGTCCTGGACAGTCCTTCAGAGAACCCCAGCACAGATACCGTCGAGGAGGAAGGACAGAAGCTGAAAAATGTCCTCGTGCTAAGCGGGGGTGAAGGATACATTGACTTCCGGATTGGTGAGTTTCTGGGAGTTGAAGTCCACAAGTCTTAAAGCTGTCAGGTTTGAAGACCCCTGGACTAGAACGTTGCAGAAGGGGATCGTGTGACCCCCAGGACCCTGCCACCGTCGTAAATATGAACCAGTTGCCAAGCACCTGAAGTTTGATTCCTTGACCGCGCGGGATGCTGCACGGTGAAAAACGGTCATAAGTCACCTTTTTTCAGTCCCGTTGTGACTTTGAATGGTCACTAAATGAACTTAAGTTGAGCACTTCCTTTACTGTGCAAAAAAATAAATTCTTTGATAGTAAAGAGTTCTCTTGTGCAAATCCAAGGGTCTCAACAGGATTGGTATTTGATCGTCTGTTTGGTGGATTTTGCTGAGAAGGGAACTTTCTTGATGCTGTATTATTATTATTATTGTTATTGTTATTATTATTATTATTTCTCTTCCCTCTAAAGGAGATGGAGAAGACGACGAGACCGAAGAAAACACGGGCGATGTTGCCCAGGTGAAGCCTATTCTCTCCAAGGCTGAACGAAGCCACATCATCGTCTGGCAGGTATCTTATATCCCGGAATGAGCCTCTCTTCTCTTCCTGCCAATGTAATTTTTCTCCCTTCTACTGACACCCACTTCCCGAATGCCAATATGTACATATGGAACTTTTGCATAATTCCTACCGCTGGCCTGTCCGATCCCAGATAACTACAACTGTTCCTGTGCCATGAAGTGGCTCCCTCCCTCTCCAGGTTTACAGTGATGGTCTTTGAGCTGGTGGGACTTTCTAGACTGGCTGGGTTACCGCTGCCTTTCCGGCAAGAGGGAATTTGTGGTTGAAGGTGTTGCATCAGAAGTCGAGACGCGCAAAGGAAGATCACCCCTTGGCTCAGAAGGACCGGACAACTTTTCCCTCCTTCTCTTCCTTCCTTCCTTCTTTCCTTCTTTCCTACCTGCATGGAGAAAAGTACCTATGAACTGCTTAACTGGCTCACTCCCTTTGCCAACACGGAAATCGCGACGACCGTTGGATTGGGTCTCCAAGCCAGTATGAGCGAGATGTTTTTTGAGAGCAAGCAACATCCCTGTTACCTTTCTCCTTCGCAATTATTCTGTGAGGTCCGGGCACGAATTTAGGAGCGATCTGAACTTGGCTAAAATGTCTTAAAATCTGTACCAGGAAGGTTTTCAGGTATGTTTGGGAATTATAGCCACATGTCAGCAGTTGGCATTGTATCTAAAATATGGGCTCTGGGCACAGGATGAGTCCCCATCGCTAAATTTATTTTAATTGGGCACTGGTGGGTTCACTGTGGTCTAGGCACCACTCTGGTAAACCGTTCTGGGCTCTTGGAAGGAGCAGAAGGATAGAGTTGCAATAAAGATAATAAGGGTTTACCAGATGAGCAGGCAGGTTATCTGAAGGTGGGATTGCCTTCTTGCTACTCCATACCTGCCTTATAGCAAATGGCATCCTAAAGGATGAGAAGGCAATGTACACATTTAGGATCTTGTTTACAGCAAGCCAGAAAAACCTGAACTTCTTCCTCCTTGAAATATTGCAGTGTTCCAGAACTGTGTTGGATGGATATTTTGGAGGGTAAAGCCACGTTCAATGTATCTGGGGGAACTGCAGGAATATAAGTCAGGTTATCTTATCTCGAAAAGAGAAAAGTCAGGGTAGGAACTAGGAGAAATTCAAGCAAACATGGAAGACAAATGGGTCAGAGAATGTAAGAGTGGAAACTAGAAAGAGATAGGCAATTGCCCGGGAGAAGGAAGTAGGGAGGAGGGGAAGTGAAGGATAGCTGGAGGTTCCTTCTTAGACTAGGAGTTGTAGAAGCAGCAACAGAAATCTGAGATGGACGAGTCTGATGAGGTCCAAAAAAGCTGCTAAGGAGATGAACTTTTATCTTCTATAAAGATACATTATTTGGAGGTGTTTCAAAGGTTGATGAGCTTGGTCAGACCCCAGAACCATCCCAGATGGGCTTGGTATCTCTTCTAGCCTTTCTCAACTGGATGCCTTCCAGCTGGGTCTATCAATGCAATTCCCCCAGTCAGTTAAGGTCAGCTTCTAGGGTCTTCATCGACACATCCTTGTTGGTTTCTTCTTCCCCTTTTCCCAACCACAGTCTGGCCTACAACCCTGGGGTTTGTTGATGGCCGCCTATGCCAGTCTGACCTGCTTGGCTTTGGGGGATCAGCCATGGTTCGCCAGGTGCTACCACCTACCTAAACATATGAGGACTATGGTTCCCCGAAACTCTTAAATCAAGGCACTTCTAACTTGGCAAGTTTAAGACTTGTGGACTTCAACTCCTAGAATTCCTGAGCTAACATAACTGGAGGAGGAATTCTGGGAGTTGAAGTCCACAAGTCTTAAAGCTGTCAAGTTTGAAGACCCCTGCTCTAAATCCACCTGGCCAAAAGGGAATTCAGAAAGTTGTACTTCTAACACGAAGGGTAGCAAATTGAGACGGTTGAATATAGCATGACAAACCCATCCAGCCAACGAAATTGGCTCCGTGATAAAAATGAAAGGTTGATCGAAGCCGCAATGCTATTCATAGCTCAGAAAGTAGGCTGTTCTTAGTTTGATGGGATTTGCTTCTGGGTAGTTACAAAGGCACTGCGTTTTCCCAAGAGGAGAACGAACAAACATCTATATAAAGAAAGAGAGACTGTGCTTAGGATGGGTACTCTACAACGTTTCTTGGCCATGTTAAGAAATTTGGCTTTCAAATCATGGAGAATTCTGGGAGTTGAGATCCACACTTCTTAAAAGTGGCTGAGGTGAAGAAACTCTGCAAAGAAAAAGAAAAAAACTAAACCAAAAAAAAAAAAATAGCAAAGGCACGAGAGCATATCCTGTTCTTACATACATTTGAAACCGAGTTTGTTTCTTTCTTTGTTTTTTAAAGTTTGATGAAGCCTCCAGCCTCTCTCATTTTTCTGGCATTTACTAGTCCTAACCTTGCTTGTCTGCTACATCTGCTCCCAAGCCTTTTGCAGTTGGGAGCATGTTGAAAAGAAGCACACACACACGTGTGAATGGCGTGGAGGAGGAAGAGGAGGAGGAGGAGGAGACAGTGAAGGAAACAGCACCTAAAGAATGTGATCCTTTTTAGGGGCTGTCAGCCAGCCTGGCGAAACGCTGACTGAGGGGCCTCACACACAGAGAGAAACCTTTCCTGCTGCAATTCCACTGTGATGTATGTAAAGTTGACTTGTATGTTATAAAAGGATTTTTTTAAAAAAAAGTTGTCTTGAGGCTGTAAACTCTGCTGTTTTGTTTGAAGATGTAAAGAGACGGCTGTATGAAAACTAAACCTCTCCCGTGCTTTCTCCCTTCCGTGCTACCAAACAAACTGAAAATCATATCTGTTCTGTATGTAATAAAAATGTATTACCGTCACGGGTCTGAGAGCATTGCTGAACCTCTGAGAAAGATGGAAGATTCTCACATGCAACTTCCAAGGAGGGAGGCCTCCATCTCTTAGTGGAATACACACCAGTCGGGGGGAAAAAGTGACATTGTTAAGTGTGTCGTCAGAGTTCTACGTGGCGGGTACATATTGTGGAAGCATTAACGCTCTCTCTAAGTTACTTGTTTTCTTGGAGACATCTCGTGACCCAACTAGGTACCATCATCAGTACCAGAAGGGGGTGGGGGTTTTGCTCTTTTTTTATGCACTGTACTAATGGCTTTCCCTGTCAGTGTTGGTAGGGGTGCTGTTCTTTCCATGACAGCTCCTTGGTTAGGCTGTTGTTTACTCTTCGTTTGTCTGAGCTGGTAGTTTCTTCACTGCAGTATTGTTTACTGATGTATTTTTGGTTTGCTTTGAACCCTTGTTTTAATCTTGATTTATCTGGGTGTTGATTGCTGGCAAGGAGGCATTCTGGTGAAGTAGGTAAACTAATCAAAGTAAATAGTAAACAGTTCCAAAGGTTCTTTTATACAAGAGGCAGCTAGACTTTCTGGTTTTTCTCTGAAGACCCAAGAAGCTTCTTCAGCTTTGACTGGATGGTGGGGAACGGAAGGATTTATATTCTTTGCAGGCAGCTTCCATATTTGTCAATGTAAATCCTTCCATTCTCAATTATCCAGTCAGAGCTGAAGAAGCTTCTTGGATGAGAAGTGAAAGGTCTTCAAAGAAAAACAAGGAAGTTCATTTGCCTCTTCCAAAATAACCTTTGGGACAACCATGACTTGGAGGACTGAGAACCTCCATAGACATTTAAATAGTAAACAGCCTAATCAAAGAGCTACCAAGTGGGGGGGGGGGGGGGAAACCCCTCTTACCAACACTGGCAGGGCAAGCCACTTGTATATAATCAGACAGCAAACCCCGCTCCCTTCTGGCACTGATGACGTGACCTACTTGGGTAAGGGAACGTCTGCAAGTCGACCACCAAGCAAGCTCAGAGAGCACCATAGTTCAATGCCGAGTGACAAATATTCTACTAGCTGCACACTGTACGACTGCCACTTTCAGTCGTACTGCTGAGTCTTTATTCTGCAATCCCTCAAGGGGGCAGCCCTATTCTCGCCTTGCCTTCTCCAGACTCAATAATCCACAATCTCTAATTACACAACCTCTCTGAAAACAGAAGGAATGAAAAGGGCTGTCTTTCCCAAATTTATTTTACAAAACAAAATGCAATGTTGAAAAGCAATAGGCTTGTACAGACAGACAAATACCCTCGGAAAATATTTGCAAATAGAACTGTGCGTCTCGTTCCAGCATTTCAGTTGGTAACTTAATAGTATAGAAACCTATAGATCTCGCAGGTCTTTCTCTTAAGCAAGCATTAATTTGTTCCCTGTTCTACGTATTTTTGCAACCCCAGCGGCTGAACATAGCATTAGAAATGAATTAAAGCACTTGTCCATCCTGAAGTATTAAAAACTCACTTTAGACAGGTGGAACAATCAAACTACAGTGCCAGAAATTCTGCCCTTTCAACCATCATTCTTTCCTGCTCCTTAAAGAGAATGAGATTAGTTTTAGCATTTAAACTGGAAAAAAAAATCCCAAAAACATTTGACCATAAGGCTTTGTTCCCTCTGCCTCCTAATTAATTGGGAACAAATTATTTTCGTTGCTTGGCAGTCAAACATTGCTCTCTTTTATCTTAGAGTGAATTTTTGGAGAATTAGATGAAAGGTTAGAGAAATATTCTCCAGCTCTGTCCAGCAACAAAAAAGCCAAATAAGAAATTGGAGTGAAAAGCTTAATGTAGGAGGGACATTTGAAGAATAATATCTGATTGGAAGACATCTTGTGCACTTGTGCTTTTGCAGATATTATTCTAATATTAGACTCAAGGAACATATCAACCAGTGCTCTATTTGACATGAGTCAGTGTGCGATACATTCAGAAGATTCCCAGCTGGAGAACTCCAGACTCCAAGAGATTTTTTTTAAAAATGGTTATTCATAAATCCAGTGCTCTCTGCTATCTTTCCAACAGATCAGTTCTTCAGAACGAAACCAGAGTGCAATTTCTCGCTGAGCAGTCTCTACCGAATCACTGCCATGAATCACGTTCCTACAAAGAAAGAAAAGGTAGTAGCGTAAGAGGAAGTTTAATCTATTCGGAGAGAAATATATTACGTACAAGACAAGGTTCACCTCCCTCTAGGTTACATAGCTCCTTATAGGCCTACTTCCCGTCGAAACACAAAGACACAAAGGGAAAGAGAAAAGAAAAGCCCGTCGATTCCAGAGGCACCAGGAGAGCCCTGCTTATTCACAGCTTCTGTAGTTGTAGCGATTTTATCTCAGAATGATATTCAAGGAGCCGTGGTGGCGCAGTGGTGAGAATGCAGTACTGCAGGCTACTTCTGCAGACTGCCAGCTGTCTGCAGTTCGATCCTGACCGGATCAAGCTTGACTCAGCCTTCCACCCTTCCAAGGTCAGTAAAACGCCCTAGATGGTTGGGAGCAAGATGCTGACTTTGCAAAACCGCTCAGAGAGGGCTGTAAAGCACTGTGAAGCGGCATGCAAGTCTTAAGTGCTATTGCTACTGCTGTGACACTTGCAGTGTCCTGGGGCTACATGATCCCTTTTTGTGACCTTCTTGACCAGCGAAGTCAATGGGGAAACCAGGCTCACTTCACAACCACGTTACTAACTTAATAATTGCAGTGATTCACTTAACCGTGGCAAGAAAGGCTGTAAAACGGGGAAACACTCCCTTAACAAATGTCACACTTAGCACAGAAATTTTGGGCTCAACGGGGGTTGCATGTCGAGGATGAATGACTTCAACTCACTTGTCCACTTCAATGCAGAAATCTCCTCGGATGGTTCCAGGGTTGGAATCGGCTGGGTTGGTTTCTCCGATCATCAGGCGGGCAGTTTTGACTACCCCCTGCCCTTGCCAGACCTTACAGAAAGGAAACGGAGAATGGTCAACAGCCACAACTTCGATGCCTCTTTCTTTCAGTCACCCAAAAGTTCTTGCGGGAATAATGCCATTTGGCTCAATGGGCCTGCTTTTTTTTTTCCCCAAAAAGCAAAAATTCTTGATGAAGTAGAAGAAGGCATAGTAGTTCTGCCCCAACTGGCAAGAAGGGTGGTTGGCATCTTCTCAAAACCAATAAGGCTAAGAAACAGCTAGTGCCTAAGAAAGATTGCCACAAAATGTGCACCAAATATTTAGTGGTGAAAAATTCCAGTACCCTTTTTTACTGCTCTGAGGCTGCCCTGGAAACTTCAGGAAGACGGGTCAAAATAGTGCAAGAGAGAACATTTTGGGCCTCTATAAATGGAGGAGGAAAAATTCTTGCAACTCAAAAAGTCCCACTTGGCCAAGGTGGCTGGGCTTGACAAATATCTCAGGCTGAGTCTGGAAAACTACCTGAGCCCTTGAGACTTCGGTTGTCCCTCAGAGGGGAGCATTTGACCTCAGGAAATTTAATGAGTTGATGTTTAGCCTCTTATATCTCTGTTCCTCACCATGGCCACAATCGGTCCCGAACTCATGAATGACACCAAGCGGCTGAAAAAAGGACGCTCACGGAGAGAGTTGTAATGTTCCTTCAGCAACTCTTCTGATGCCTGAGTAGAAGATACATCAGATGCAATCAACAAGTTACAGACATTAGTAAAAACACTGGATACTAAGCTTCCACTGGCAGATTGGGAAGGAATTAAAATCATGGGCAGATTCTTCAACCAAACTCAGCTTCAACATGTACTTGAAAGCTCAAAAGAGGATAATCTTCTATCTATATATATAAAAGCAAAACACTACTCAGGCATCATCACAAAATCTCCAGAACCGTAAAGCCTACAAATTTGAAATTTGGCACGTATGTTCCTCTTGGCTTCTAGGTGCTCACTAAGAAAGGATTTTTCAAAGTGATCATCAGAGCATTAGTATTTCGTATACTATTATTATTAACACGCTCTGATGCTAAGGAGTTCCACTCCCCCTCCCCACCTGAAAAGAAATCCCTTCCAAATGCAAAACACAAGCAGAGGAGTTACAGTTTTAGTTTCACCGTAGCAACCAGTTTTAGTACAGCTCAGTTGAGCTAAGCCATGCCCAGGCTCCTTGCTCACGCAGCAAATACTGTTTCAGCTTCCAAACAGCCCTCAACTCTCTCACGCACTGACAGGACACTAGCCAGATGAATACTGATGGATGTTGGTAGACAGAGGCACAATTTTCCCCCCTTATTTTCCTCCCCCCAAACTAAGCCTGATCACACAGTTTCATAGCGAAGCATGGGTATAGAGCTAGTACTTTTAATAAGGCCATCTGTTCTACAGAGTGCGTAAGAAACTATAATACCAATAATACAAGATAAGGGATAAAAGGACCTATTTAAAACAGACCAGGTCACCCACAATAAGAAAAACATCAACCAGAGTCCCTGAGTTCTACCTGGGAGCTCCCCTGGCTGTTCTCACCTGCATGAGTTTCATCGCCACCAGCTTGAATCCCTTCTTCTCAAAACGCCGGATGATCTCACCAACCAGATGCCGCTGTACCCCATCTGGCTTGATGGCAAGGAAAGTGCGTTCATTCACTCCCGTAAAAGCTGGAAACAAGAAACAGGCATCATACGCTGGCAAGATACCAAGGATGGAGGAAGTCTTGATGAAGGGTCCTTGATGCCCTCTGAGCTTGGTTGTTTTCTTGTAGACGTTTCATTACCCAACTAGGCAACAACATCAATGCCTGAAGGGGTTTGCAAAGAGGAGAAAGGAGAGGAGGAGGTGGAGAACTGTGGGGCCCTTGGTATTCTCTGAGCTTGGTGGGGTTTTTTGCAGATGTTTTATTACCCAATTAGGTAACATCATCAGTGCTAGAAGGGAGTGTTCAAGGAACCGAGAGCAAGCCGCACTCCTTCCAGCACTGATGATGTTACCTAGTTAGGGTAATGAAACGTCTGCAAGAAAACAACCAAGCTCAGAGAGCACCAAGGACCCCTCCTGTCAACCCTGAGCTACAGAGATTCTCCTTTATTGGTAACATCTAATGCTCATCGTTGGTTTGGGAAGCAGATTCCAAGTCATTCTCATGACAGTTCTACAGAGGAATTATTGAGTCTGTCATCTGCACCTCTGTAACTGTCTGGTTTGGCTCTGCAACCCAACAAGGCAGACACAGACTCCAGAGAGTAATTGGGACTGCAGAAAAAACAATTACTAGCAACCTGCCTTCAATCGAGGACCTGCATACTGCATGAGTCAAAAAGAGGGCTGAGAAAATATCTACGGACCCCTCACATCCTGGACATAAACTGTTTCAACTCCTTCCCTCAAAACGACACTATAGAGCCCTGCCACACCAGAACAACTAGACACAAGGATAGTTTTTTCCCGAACGCCATCTCTCTGCTAAACGAATAATTCCCTCAACTATTTACAAAGTCTGCACTACTATTACTGTTAATCTTCTCATCACTCCTTATCACCTCTCCACTCCCACTTGTGACGGTATAACTGTAACTTTGTCGCTTGTATCCTTACGATTTATATGGACTGTTTCCTAGAATGATTTGATTGCTTATTGTACCTATGACTATTATTAAGTGTTGTACCTGATGATTCTTGACTCTTGACTCTTGATGAATGTATCTTTTCTTTTATGTCCACTGAGAGCATTTGCACCAAGGCAAATTCCTTGTGTGTCCAATCACACTTGGCCAACAAAGAATTCTATCTATTTCTATCTATTCTATCTGTGACAGATAGCCTTGAACTTACAACCATAATGGGCTCCAGAATTTCCACTACTAAGCAAGGCAGTGACTCTTGCCTGATTCTACCATCTTTTTTTTTTTTTTGCCATGGTGGTTGTGACTCACTGCAGCTGTTAAATGAATCTGTCCTCCTTAAGTGAATCCACCTTCCTACGCCCGCAGGCATTACGTGTCAATCATGTGATGCCAGGACTGTGGTAAATACATGCCAGCTGCCTGAATTTGGATTATGTGACAGTGGGGAGGAAGTGATGTTGCAAGTGTGAGGATCAAGTCACAAGTCGCTTTTTTAAAGCGCTGTTTTTCAAGGCCACTCACGATCTTCCCAGCTGGCTTCTGACAAGCGAAGTGGGGCAGGGGGGAGAAGGCAGGAAGTGGCAAGTTGCAGTCCCACGTCTTGCTTAACAACTGCACCATTTAAACCAGGAAACGTTCCAGTCTCTTTTGGGGTTGCAAATCGAGGACTACCTGTGTTACTAGCTTGCGTGTGGACAGCGTCTTCCCTTCAAGCCATGGGAGCTGGGTGGGGAAAGGGTGCAGAGCTGCTGGCGCACAGCAAGGATGTAAAGATGTTTTGAAGAATGAAGGTAGATCGAGGCCAGAGTCCCGAGGGCCTCCCGTAAAAGTGCAGCCTCATCTCGCTCCAATCGGGGAGAGAAAAGGCGAATTCTTCTCGTCTGAAAGTGATCTTGCTGGGGCCCCTCGCCCTTTTAATTCCAGCTTAACCTGGAAGGCGTTTGCAAAAGGAGAGGCTTCGAATCCCCTTGGCAGGACCCAGAATGAGGGTTGGGGTCGTTTGCACGTGGGGAAAAGAAGATTCCCCCAACCCTCATCCCGGGACGGATCCAGGAAGGACTGAGCCAGGGGGGTGTCTGGAAGCCTTGACACGCAGCTTTGGGATTGAGCCGAAGAACAAAGCGGTTTGTCAAGCGGTTGCTGAGACCCTGCAGCGCGGGCCCTTCCCTTGCGCCCCCACCTCTGCTGCTCACCTGTCTGGAAGATGCTGGCAAAGAAAGCCAGTAAGAAAATCATGGTGGGACCAGCAGCAGGTAGCACCGGCGGCAGCAGCAGCAGCGGGGACGTGCAGGGATCCTGGAAGGGAAGGCCAGGCCGGCCGGTGTCCGGGCGGATGCATGAGCGCGTGCACGCGCCTTCGACAGAGGCGGAGCCCTGCCCGGGGACTGTCTTGGGCTTCGGGGGGCGCGGCTGCCGCAGTTCGAAGCCGCGGTTAGGGGTTGCAGTTGGCACGGAGGGTTTGGTGGGAGAACTGCACGCTCTTGAACGGGACTCTTGAAAGCCGGGATGACCTGGGGGCTCCAATTCCCAGCATGGCAGGCGAATTCTGGGAGTTGAAATGGCCAAGGTCTTAAAAGTGTCCCTTTCCTTCTTCCTTTCCTTTCCTTTCCTCTCCTCTCCTCCCCTTCTTCCTTTCCTTTCCTTTCCTTTCCTCTCCTCCCCTTCTTCCTTTCCTTCCCTTCCCTTCTTCCTTTCCTTTCCTCTCCTCCCCTTCTTCCTTTTCTTTCCTTTCCTTTCCTCTCCTCCCTTTCCTTTCCTCTCCTCCCTTCTTCCTTTCCTTTCCTTTCCTTTCCTCCCCTTCTTCCTTTCCTTTCCTTTCCTTTCCTTATTCTCCCCTCCCCTCCTCTTCCCCTTTCCTATTTTCCTTTCCCTTTCCCTCTCTTCTATGGAGATATAATTGCAACATTGGATCCTGGATGCCTAGTGGAGGAGGAGGCAGAAGTCCTGGCTATCCAAACTACCCCTTTTCTTCTGCTGTTTTAATCGCGATACAGGTCGTGGCCATCCCTTCTGGCTTCTTGTGTTGGATACTTTTTAAAACTGTATTCTGATGTTCCATACTTGCTATAAGCCCTCTATTTTCAAATTGCAATAAAGCCTGAAACAATCAACCTGCCGACCGCTAGATGGCAGCAGCGCTGTCTGTAGCTGTAATCGACGAGAGCCGCTCCAGCGGTGCCTCCTTTGCAGGTGCCTTGTTTCTCTCTTTCTCTCTCTCTCTCTCTCTCTCCCCGCCACCTCCCGCTCCGCATCAATAGAAGAACGAGCTTCCGGCCTGAAAGGAGCGTCCCAGGAAAGTCTCCGCGCGTCGCTCTACTTCGCCCGCTCCGTGGTTCTTCCTGCGCGTGCGCAGAGAGGCTGCCAGTGACAGCCGGTAGCCATGGCGGCCGGGCCGCCTCTGGAGCACGAAACGCAGATCTTCCTGGATCTTTTCCACCAGGACGGGCTGGTCATCTGCGCCCGCGGGTTGGGCGTCGACCGGCTGCTCCTGCGCTTCCTTCGCCTCTACTGCGAGCCCACCCGGCTGGTGCTGGTGCTGAACACCAGCCCCGCGGAGGAGGTAGGGGCGACCCTCATCCCGGCCGCGTTCCCACGGGACGCTCTCAACCCGGGTTAAGGCCGCGCTCCGGAGGACGCGGCCTGGCCTTGTAGAAGCCTAGGGGGTGGGAAGGCCAGGCCTGTCATTCAGGGAGGGAGGGAGGGCAGAGTGAGTCCCCGCCTGGGTTTTGGGACAAGTCCAAGCAGAGGATCCAGTGCTCTTTATTTTCCCCACCACCACAACAACCCTGTGAGGTAGGCTGGGGCGAGAGAGAGAGAGAGAGAGAGAGAGAGAGGAACTGGGCCAAAGTCGCCCAATTGGCTTCCGTGGCTTAGTATTAGTATAGTAGTAGTAATGATGTAGTATAGTTATAGTTACAGTATAGTTTTGGTACAGGTATAGCATAGGTATGGTATAGGTATAGTATTAGTATTGTATAGGTATAGTATAGTATAGGTATGGTATAGTTTATTAGTATTGTATTAGTATTGTATAGGTATAGTATAGATATAGTATAATATAGGTATAGTATAGGTATGTATGGTTTAGTATTGCATTAGTATTAGTATTGCGTAGATATAGTATAGATATAGTACAATATAGGTATAGTATAGGTATGATATGGTATAGTATTAGTATTGTATAGTATAAGTATAGTATAAGTATGGTATGGTATAAGTATGGTATTGGTATCGTATAGTATAGCATAGCATAGTATAGTAATGATGTATAGTTATAGTATAGTTACAATATAGTATAGGTACAGGTATAGCATAGGTATGGTATGGTATAGGTATAGGTATAGTATTGTATAGGTATAGTATAGTATAAGTATGGTATAGTTTAGTATTCGTATTGGTATTGTATAGATATAGGTATAGTATAATATAGGTATAGGTATAGTGTAGTATAGGTATGATTATAGTATTAGTATTGTATAGTATAGGTATAGGTATAATATAAGTATGGTATGGTATTGGTATAGTATAGAATAGAATAGTATAGTTATAGTACAGTATAGTCTTTATTGCCATTGTACATCATATATGCAATGAAATTGGTTTAGCCTCTCTGGTGCAACCCATAACAGAAAATACAAAACTACATAAATGGCATAGAGAATAATCCTTATACAAGTAATTGGGAGGGAAGGACTAGTCACGCCTTTCCATATCTGATTAAGAGTCTGACAGCCCGTGGGTAGAAGCTGTGTTTAAACCTGTTTGTCTGGATGGCTATGCTTCGATGTCTTCTGCCCGATGGTAGAAGCGAAAAGAAACACTGGCCTCGGTGTGAATCATCCCTGTGTATCTTCCTTACTCTGCTGAAACAGCGAGACCTGGGCGATGTCATCCAGCGGTGTTGAGAGAGCAATTGATGGTTTCTTGTGCAGAATTGATCACTCTCTATAGTGCCTTCCTGTCCGCGGCTGTGAGCCCAGCATACCATACTGTTATACAGTATGTGAGGGCAGGACTAGAACTCACCGTCTCCTGCTGATTGGCCCAAAGTTACCCAGCCTTCTTTATTTATTTATTTTAATTTATTTATTGAACTTATATTGCCACCTATTCTGCTATGGCGACTCAAGGCAGCTTACAGAATGTAAAACGACATTTAAAACAATAAAAACTAATAAAAAGAATCAAATAAATTGATAAAATACAATAGAACCAAATCATCCCCCAACTCCCACCCACCCATCCTGCCCAGGCAACAGCAGATCACACGAGCCATTTGATGGGCTCCATCCCTCTCTGGGTTCCCCAGGACCGCTGGCAGAACCAGGTCTTCAGCCCCTTCTGGAAAAGTATTAGAGAGGGGGACGTTCTAATCTCTGGGGGGATGATGTTCCAGAGAAAGGGAGCCACCACGGAGGAGGCTCTTCTTCTGGGTCCCACCAGGTGTATCTCCCTTGCAGGATTCCCTGCCTCCCTGCTCTAATGGGTTGGCTAGATGTGACTGGCAAGAGATGATCACCTGGTCCCAAACCACGAAGAGCTTTAAAGGTGACAACCAGCACCTTGAATTGCACCCAGAACCAAGGCAGTTCCCTCAGGAGAGGCGATGCATGTGCACACCGGGCTCTGCACAAAATCATGCGGGCTGCTGCATTTTGCACCAACTGGAGCTTCCGGATGCTATTCAAGGGCAGCCCCATGTAGATCCCATTGCAATAGTCAAGGTGGGAAGTGACTAAGGCATGAGTGACTGTGAGTGGGGATTGTTGGTCCAGGAAAGGGCGTAACTGGTGCACAACCCGCAGTTGCACAAAGGCCCTCCTGGCTGCAAACGCCACCTGCTCTTTGAGAAGGAGTTGTGAGTCCAGGAAAACCCCTAGATTATGTACAGCGTCTGTTTGGGGTAGTGCCACCCCATCCAAGATCAAAGGTAGCAATTCTCCCTGAGCCAACGAACCCCAAACCCAGAGCCACTCGGTCTTGCAAGGGTTTAGTTTTAACCTGTTGCTCCCCATCCATCCATCTTTCATCCACCGCCTAAGGTGGGGCTAGTCTCCTGGTGATTGACCCAAAGTCACCGAGTTTCAAGAACACTGGTATAGACCTTCTGTGGATGAAGGTCCGGTTTGTGAAAGACTTTACTCAAATGTGGTGTAGCAGAAAACTCTCCACCCAAACTTTCATGTCCTGTGACAGTCAATCCTTGTAACATCATTTGTGTGAGGGTGTTCTGGCAGAAAATGAGAGATTTATTTATTTACATCCTGTCTTTTATTATTATTTATAAGTAACTCAAGGCAATGAACATATCCTGGTGGGTTGGGCTGAGAGACTATCCAGAAATTGAGGGATATCTATCTATCTATCTATCTATCTATTTATCTATCTATCTATCTATCTATCTATCTATCTATCTATCTATCTATCTATCTATCTATCCATCCATCCATCCATCCATCCATCCATCCATCCATCCATCATCTATCATCTATCTATCTATCTATCTATCTATCTATCTATCTATCTATCTATCCATATTGTCTGTCTACATACATACATACATACATACATACATATCTGGACGTAGTTCTAGGAACATATAAGAAAAGCAATCCCATTGAAAAAATGCACTTTACTTCTAAGCAGGCATTCATAGATCACATTATAAATCTGAATTGCTCCTTTATAAACATCCTTAGATTGCAATGCTATAAAATATTTGTCAAGTAATGGAGCCCATTAAATTAAATAAAGGTGTTATTCCTGATTTGTACTATCGGTAGGCATTTGAATATCATTAGTTAACAGGAGACATAAAATGTTACATGTTACCGGCCTTTTCCAGGAAAACTCATTTGCTGAAACCAGTTCTGATGTAGCCGCCCCACCCTTAGGCTTAATAGTTGACAATGAATTTGGGAAGCCTAAGGTTTGTAGAAATTAAAAAAAAAACAATTTTAAAATAATTGAAAGACCGTAAACTGTTGCTTATCTTCCTCTTTACTCTGAATCATTTTTCCTTTGTCAGGAATATTTCATTGACCAGTTAAAGACCGAAAATGTTGCTTATCTTCCTCGGCGAGTTACAAATGAAATTGCCAGCAGCGGCCGTTATGAGGTCTACAGCCAGGGAGGAGTTATTTTTGCCACTAGCCGAATTCTGGTGGTGGATTTTCTGACCGACAGGATTCCTGCAGATCTTATCACTGGTAAGAAGTTTACAACTGGGTGTCGTTCCTGCTTTTCAGCACGCTAGGCATAGTTTTGAGTCTAGACTGAAAAATGCAGGGCCATTGTTCCTCTCGGTTCACATGTAGGGAAATTTCAAATAACGCTCTTCGTTTTAT